AAGTGAAAATGATGGAAAAGTAACTAAATGAATCAGGTAATTTGCAATACATCACCCAAGACATTGATTTTCATCGTGGGCATTTTGAACTTTGATGAAAAAGCCATAATTTCTTTCAAGGTGATATGATCATCAACGAAAATGATGGAAAATACATAGGTTAATTTTTGTTGAAACCACCAAAGTCATGACATTTTTTGATGGATGTGGACAGAAGAATTATTCAAATGATTCTGGACTGTGTTTTTTTGATTTCCGGCATGGTGGCCGGTTGGTTTTCGAGAACATTTTTTCACTTGAAAGATTTTTACATTTGAAGGATGCTGAAAGATCATTCAGTTGTAGTCGTTGAAACTGAAGTTGATATAAGCTTTATTCTGTTAGGATACAAGCGGAAAAATATTTCATTATAGTCTTTTAAACTAAAACTATCGAAAAACACACAATCAATTTTGTACGAATAGAGATTCATACAAACATATGAACTTAGCTTTGCCGAAACTGCAAAACTAAATCCACTGTTCTGTGTTTATATTCTGTACAACGATTGAAGTTGTGCAATCGACTTGATATTATCAGTAGTAATTTTATTGGTATGTTTTTTGTATTCTGTTTTTGATACAAGAAGTTGATGACGAAATATGTGGATAGACCACAAAGGTACGGCTGCATCAACACAAGTTGAGAACACCACCATCACAAGACGGCGTATTGTCCAAAATTTTCTTCTCATCTGGCTGGACGCCAACATTGACGAACCCAACGACGTTTTTCATAATCCTCTTACTCAACTACGACGGATTGTGAATACCATCGATACATTCACTGATGCTGATCAATGCGTCGATTTTCTGACCAAAACACAAGAGGAAAAGGCATTCATGATTGTGTCGGGTACTCTGGGGCAAAATATAGTACCCCTCATTCATGATGTCTCTCAACTCGATTCCATCTTTGTATTCTGTGAAACCAAAAGGACACATGAACAGTGGGCGAAAGAGTGGTCGAAAGTGAAGGGTGTTTTCACAGATATGGTTCCCATTTATGAATCCCTGCAACAAGCCGCACGACAATGTGATCAAGATTCCATCTCGGTTAGTTTTGTTTTGGCGAGCGATGCATTCAATCCAAATTTGGACCAACTCAACCAATCCTTCATGTATACACAATTACTGAAAGAAATTCTGCTCGAAATCGAATATAATGAACAATCCATCGGAGACTTGGTCGCCTATTGTCGTGAGCAGTACACCGGCAACGACCCTGAATTAAATATTGTGGCTAAGTTCGAGCGAGATTACTATCTTGAATCGCCCATCTGGTGGTATACTTATCCGTGTTTCATCTATTCGATGCTTAACCGGGCTTTGCGTACTCAAGAAGTTGATACAATCATCAAGATGGGCTTTTTCATTCGCGATCTCCATCTACAAATCGAACAACTTCACTCGGAGCAATCGAGTGGCGACCGTGTACGATCATTTACTGTCTACCGAGGTCAAGGCTTGTCAAAGGTAGATTTTGACAAAATGATGAAAACAAAAGGCGGGCTCATGTCGTTCAACAATTTCTTGTCGACCAGCATCGATCGAGACGTCTCTTTTGCCTTTGCTGACAGCAATCGAAGCAATCCCGATTTGACAGGAGTTCTATTTCAAATAACTACTAATCCATCGATCTCATCGACTCCTTTTGCCCTCCTTGACAATGTTAGCTACTACAACGGTTCAGAAAACGAGATTCTCTTCTCGATGCACACCGTCTTTCGCATCGGTGAAATCACACCCATCGACAACAGCCAGCGACTCTGGCGGGTGCAACTCACACTGACGGGTGATAACGATGGGCAGCTCAGTGCTCTCACCGAAAGCATGCGAGAGGAGACTAGGGGATCAACTGGGTGGTCTCGATTAGGTAAATTGCTCATTCGACTAGGTGAGTTCCACAAAGCTGAAGAAGTGTATGAAGTACTGCTCGATCGAACATCCGATGACGTTCAGAAAGCGTTTCTCTATCATCATCTTGCAATGACCAAGGACGGCCAAGGCGACTGTGCGGTAGCGATTTCATTTTACGAAAAAGCACTTGAAATTTTGGAAAAAACACTCGTTCCAAATCATCCTGATTTGGCTGCTTCCTACAACAACATCGGTGGAGTCTATTCCAAGACGGGCGAGTATGCGAAAGCACTTTCGTTTTACGAAAAAGCACTTGAAATTTCTCACACAACTCTCTCTTCAAATCATCCCGATTTAGCCGATTCCTACAACAACATCGGTTTGCTGTATTCCAAGGTGGGCGAGTACGCGAAAGCCCTTTCCTTTAACGAAAAAGCACTTGAAATCTTCGCAAAAACTCTCCCTCCAAATCATCCGTCGTTGGCTACTTCCTCCAACAACATCGGTTTACTGTATTCTAAGATGGGCGAGTACGCGAAAGCCCTTTCGTTTTACGAAAGAGCACTTGAAATCTTCGCAAAAACTCTCCCTTCAAATCATCCATCGTTGCCTATTTGCTTCAACAACATCGGTTTACTGTATTCTAAGATGGGCGAGTACGCGAAAGCACTTTCGCTTTACGAAAAAGCACTTGAAACCCGCCAAAAAACTCTCCCTCCAAATCATCCCGATTTGGCTACTTCCTACAAGAACATTGGTGGAGTGTATGTTGAGATGGATGATTACCCGAAAGCACTTTCGTTTTACGAACGGGGTATAGTAATTTTACAACGTTCACTGCCCGAAAATCTTGCTGAACTTCAACTGTATAGAAGTATCCTCGAAAGAGTAAGAATGAAATTGAAAATAACTAGTGACAAATAAAAATATAAGCGAATGTTCTCGTCGATTAGATGGGCGCGAAAAGAGAGACTCTGCGGTGCTAAGAACACAGTGGATAACACCGACCGATAAGGTACTACACGTTGGGTCGTCATCAACAACCACCACGTCGTACGTGCATCATAGGCTCTTTCGCATTCTTTAGGTTTGCCAGCAAGGGGTCCCTCTGTAACGGATTACAGTCACCCGGCAGACGCGCAAAAAGACTGTCGGCCTGTGAAAGAGAAACGGCGAGATTAGAGAGGATTCTGTCACAAGAATGAGATCTTTGTCGATCATATTGAATGGTTTTTTGTACGTCGGTGAACTAACCTTTCTGTTCCAACATAACAGTAGTTCAATTCGCCATCAAAACAACAATAAACTCGTTCAAAAGAGAGAGAAAATGTAGAAAGGAGCTCACACTGAGACGGACTGAGATGAAAGAACCATGTACAAAACCACTGATTAAGTTCTTTTCTGGAATACAATTCCAATCATGTTCATGTGTATCTTTGTTGGATTGAAACAGACATTGAGTATGCGATGTACAGAGTTAATAAATGTAATAAAGAAAAGAAAAATTGGAAATTGGGGACACATTCATAATCAAGTAAACAAGTTAATCAATTAGTTTATAGAGTTACACATAAATCGAATAGCAATCTGAGTAAAGAGGAGATATTAGGTATGAAACGGTTAAAAGAAGATAGATTAATAGATTTATTCAAAGCAGACAAGGATAAGGCTATTGTATTGATGAACATGTTAAAAAAGTACAAGAAACGCTGATTAAAGATAAAAAGTTTACTATCAATAACAATGATGAAAGAATTCCATATCTATACTGTATCGTGAAAATTTATAAAATGAGTTATCCTGTCCAGTTGATCACTGCAACATGCAATGCTTCATGTTATCGATTATCAAAATATTTAGCTGAATTACTATCTTTATCGGACAACAAGCCAAAATGTTTTATTAAAGATTCATTTGAGTTGGTTAAAATTTTGAAAATAAAAACAGTTAGTAAAAGCCTATCAGCACAGATCTTGGGTCTAATTCCTCCATTCAAACGTGATAGATTAAGGTAACAGACGATGCAATTATCCATTATGCATTCCTTACTCAACAATGCCATAAGACATAAGTGAAAGACATCGATTAAAATAGCGAAAAAATGTTTACATAATGAGACAGGTGCGCCTTAACCATATACCGAACATGGCGAAAACTCGACTACCACCAATTCTTGATCAATACGCAAGAATAGATATAGTTGGATGAAGCAAAATAGCACAAACTTTATTCTGTTGAAGTGTTCAATGAGTATGCTAAATAAACATAAAGAATATTATTACTCATTTGAATAGGTTTTGCTATTATTCATAAAAGCAGCTACCACTAAATACTTTGTTTCTTCTAATACAATATTGTACATGCGCTAATCGATACGTATTCGTAGCATTAAAAATTCGTACCTTATACGTAGATCTATTCACGCTATCTCAATGTTATTATTATTCACGATAAGTACTGGGAGTTAATACGTATATTATATAATGTGCATTGATTATCCAATCGAATTTTAGCTATAGTCGAGATCAATTATATTTATAAATAGAAAAATATTATCAATCGAATGTTATGGAAAATATCCAAAAATACAAATTCAAGTATTAACTTATGTTCAAATTCTCAAGTGTCAAAGGACTTATCGTAAATTAGATAAATTTAATCAAGTTTTACTAAATGTCATTTTGATCGAAGAGTATAATGTTACATAAACAGTACAAAAGATTTTTGTATAAAAAAAGGTGTATAAAAATAGACAACAAAAACAACAATTATTATCGGTATATGCATAGCAAATAAATAGTACCTGAAAATAGCACACATTAATTAACTGTATCTACTTGAAGAAGAAGGATATAATTAGATTGAAATACATACAATATGAAAAATAACGAAAACATATTCAGTTTTAAAGCTATGATTTCTCGCCTACAGTATCAAAGAACATTATACATTTTATTAGAAGGTGATAGGGTATATTAATAATTACGGGAAATGCATATTTACAGCACGATTTTAATTTATTACTGTTGATCTTTATCAATTTATTCTTTTTGAAGCGAAGAGAAGGTATTTGATTAACTCGGGAAGCGCAAGAAATAATATTTAATTGTCCATGTCTTCATCTAAAAACATTGATCGCTGATAAGTTCTATTCAAGTAGTGTTTTTCTAAAAAATACATAAAAAAATAAATAAGATACAAGAAATTTAGAGAAACACAGATCATAAGTCTTAACATGAACTCATAATCTTCGCTTGCCTATGGCAAAAAAAAAGAAACTAGTTAAGTTGATAAACTCGCAGAGAGTGGATGGATTTGTTCGGTTGGATCTACATCCCTTCCTGTGGAATATGACAAGGTTCAGGACGAAAAATTTTTCTGTAGAATATAAAGGATGCGATACGACTCATTCTTATAGAAACTTGCCTGGGCAGGACAACGAATAACTTCGTTTCGCTCACCTCTGCCAGCGACCTTATTTAAATACCACATTAGAAGTACGCCATTATACGTATTAATTCTAAAAATTTTAAATCTTACCAGCTACTTGGCGACTTTTCTGTTTAGCTTCAAATGCAATCGCTGATTGTAAATCTAATGCCTATGAATAATATTAATCTTAGTTTTTGTTAATTTCACACTTTGATGTTAATAAATACCTTTTCACGATTTTTTACTTCTTTTTCGTGCCGTCGACGTAGAAATGATGACGATGTTCCACGAGTATCGTTGAATTCATTGTCACTCATTTCTTGAACACTAAAAAGAGAACAATCTAAGTAAGCTCATTCATGATCTAGAAGAGGAGGCTAAATGCTTTTAGATAGAATGGTAATCGTCCCGTTACAAGTTTCGTTCTGTGTTTTATAGTTTTACACGTGTCAGACGAGAAACTGGAGAGTTTAATATAAAGACCATGTTTTATTGCGAAATTTAGTTCAGTACCTCTGTTTCGATAACATTTTTCGCACTTCATCTTTTTTCTTTAATCGTGCTAATCTTTCAGTAGCGGTCAAACGTTCTTCGTTTCCAAAATCAATCAATCGTTCTGGAATATCTACTTTGTCGGGTTTAAAAATCTACAAAATTAATAATCCTAAGAACATCAAAATTGTTCTCTTAATGAGATAGTTTTTACAGTACCTCTTTGTCAATTACATCAGCGTCAAAATCCTGATTAGCATTGTATCGCTGTTGTTGTGATGATTTCAAAATTCCCTTAATTGTTATGAAAGCAAAGCTGCTCAAAAAGTATTGATAAAAAAACTGGTGCAATACACTTACATTTGGTATAAATCCATTTGTATATGAAGTTTTACTGATACTAAAATATTGACAACAGCAAAAACGAAAATATGGTAAAAATCCAATGATAGAATACGAATTACTTATTGTTGGTGTCTAATCGTCGAGCTGGTTTAACAGTGGCAATACGGAGTCGACTATCTTTTGTGTTGTTGTTGTTGTTATTGTTACTATTTTGATTTTTAAACGGTGACCAACTATCTTGTTTTGAAATTCGTATTACATCTCTGTCCTATAAATCGAACTATAATTTATGAAAAACTGATAAAACGTTTTTGCAAAACTTACCAATTCTCTGTTTTTGGTATGTAAATCTTCATCATAACGGGGAGCGGATGTTGAACGAATTTCTTAAAAAAAAGCTTATCAGCGTCGATGAAACGTAAGTCCTGGAAACGTTTTATGGTTTTATCAGTCTAATAACAACTTTTTACTCAAAAGGCAATAGTCGGATTATCAATTGTTACATTCCGACTAAGCGTAAATAAGTATGATAACATTATCGATTTTTTTTTCAGTGAAGAATGGGGTGAATCTAACAACATATAATTTGTATGATATGAAACTAATCGTTGGATAATCGCATAATAACCGAAACAAAACTTACTTGGACTTGGACTTCTTCTCCTTCGATTTTGATAATCGTTATAATTATTACCATTTGAGATGTACAATGGTGAATTACCTTTGAATAGTATTGAATATTTGTTTCATGTGTGAATATTTTAATTGTCCATTGATAGATACATACTGTTATTGCCATGATTTGATAAATAAGGTTGCTGGCGTACATCATCTGATATTTGCATATTTATCGTCCGTTGTTGTTGTTGATGATTAAATTTTAATCGATAATCGTCCTTAAATGAAAACAATCACATCTGTATTTGTTACTATCTAAAATCTGTTATTTTTAATTCTTCCAAACATATAAATTCAAATGTATTAAATTTGTCAAATTAAAATTACTTTGCTTGTCATGTTCACTGAATTTCTAGTTGGCAGTGTATCCAAATAGGTTTCTGTATAAGGATGTGATGATAAATGGTGTTGTTGATATCCTAATTTAAATGAAAAGAAGGAATAATGGTTGAAGAAATTGAATAATATTGATGACACTTACTCTCATCATTGTTGAATTGTGGAATTGTGTTCACATACGCCAAAATATATTTTTCCAATGAACGAAGACTGGTGACGAGTCCTGTTAGTTGCTAAAATATTAACAAAAGAATGATTAAGAGACAATTGACTTTGAACGCATGATCTTACCTGACTAACATGTGCTACATAACCATCGGCTGATACTGACTGATCACGCAATATTGGTAACAAAATTTCAACACGATTTTGTTCATTTATTGAATATATTTGACAATTCCATTGTAATAATGAGCAAAACTCATTTAGTAACGACTAGAATCATAAAGATGAGCAAAATGTAATGATTTGTTATGTGTGAAATATTCTCCTCGAACCTGATGTTGAAGTAACGATGTTAACTCGTCTTCTAACTGTATACAAATATTGTCGTCATTTAATACATGATCAATATCATTCTAAGAGAAACGAGAAAATGACATAATAGAAATATTTTAATACTTTTCTTCTTACTAATATTGATAGATGAGTCTCATCAAGACTACCACGAGCGACTAACGATTGATATAACGTTTTTAACGTTGAACGTCGTTGAAGAAACGATGTTGTCCGTAAAGTCTGTTCAAAAAATATATATCATTTGTAAAATATGTTATTTTTATCAATTTTTTATTTTACAAACCTCACTTTTTATCGTTAGCCATTCATCGGTGTTATTTAATATGGGAATTTCTTTTAATAATCGTTGTAAGTCATTGATCTGTTAAATATTTGAAGTTGAACTATTGAATTTAATACGAAATAATATATACATACTTTTTTTTCCCAATTCGGTTTTAAACGTTCTATTTGATCCGATATTTTACGACAGTGTGTGAAATATACTGAATGAGACGATTTATTTACGAAACTGAAATAGAATAAATTTGACTAGTCGTTTAATATAAAAGACAGATTTCTGTTTTTAACTAAAAGCTCACTTTAACTAATCAAAGTCAATAATTTACCTATTGCGTCCACTTCCATTATATAATTGTTCGATAGTTCTTTCATAAAATGATTGTAAATGATAGAGTAACTCAATATGACGTTTGATGGTACGAGCAGATCTCGACAAGGTATCGTGCTAAGATAAAAAAATGTTTATAAAATTATTAGAGAAGAGAAGGACATTTATCAAAGATATTTGTATTACATGATCATAGTCAACTTTTTGGCTTTCAACACTCAGACTTGATGTCGCTGATACTGGACGACTGGAAGCTGTAATAAACACAAAAAGGATAATAATTAATAAAACATCTAAAACGTTATTAGAGATATACGATTCTAACTACTTCTCGAGTAATCAACCTATTTAATTCTGAATTTAAGAGAAAAACCATAGCATTCATATGGATGAAAAACTAGTTTTTTCCAGTGTGATTGTTCACTTCAATTGTGTATACTGTTATCCTCGCAATATTGTACCGTACACTCTAAAAAATGTGGGTAGACCAAAAAACGGAAAAGAGTTTTTCATTTTGAAACGACCACGAACCTTTTTTGGTTTATGAAAACAGTCTAAAAACGGCCAAAAAACCCTTCAAACAACCCATAACAGTACTCAACAGTATTTATCAATCTACTGTTATGGGTGGTTTGAAGGGTTTTTTGGCCGTTTTTAGACTGTTTTCATAAACCAAAAAAAGGTTCGTGGTCGTTTCAAAATAAAAAACTCTTTTCCGTTTTTTGATCTACCCACATTATTTAGAGTATAGTAGTGTGAACAACAAGATAATAGAAAAACGTCAAACACTTACGCATTAGACGATCGTTGTAACGACTAGATGAGTAAGATGAACTGAGCTGAATAAAACAAAAAGAATATCATGTAAATCACGGCATATGTTTATAAATACATTTTCTATAGTCGTAAGTATCAACTATGAGAAGACAGACACGTAGTTCCGTGTCGTGTATCGTCAAAATAGAACAAAAAATACACGAGAAGTGTACAAAATATCTTAAACAATTAATTGGAGACTAATATTTAGATAAAGTTTGTCAAAACAGGCACGATAATCTCAGTCGATGATTAGGTGCGTGTGAGTGTGTATATTTACATCTATATGATGAACATCAAAAAATTAACGACATGAGTTCTATATGTATAATGAACACAATCCTCTTATAATGTAGACAAAAAGAAAATTTGATCTCTTTTTTCTATTGTAGTTCACTACGTCAAAATCAACATTGACTAAAGATGATTTTAATAAAGAAGATACAACAAGGTCACTCATTTTAACCCTTTATCAATATCAATGTTCATTGTTACTTTCTCTAAAATAGTTTGTAAACAAAAAGATTACAGCAAAGCATGTATCTGTATCGATGCACAATGAGGATCAGAAATTATTATTTGAGATATACAACAGACAAAACCTACATTCACTCTTGGGTTTGTTACTTGATAGCCATTGGGAAGTGGAGGCCGAAATGGACCATGTTGTTCTCTAAATACAAAATTCGTTCAAAAACTATATATCAAGGTTCACAGAGCAACAGTATAATTTTTAAATAGCAAATATTTGAAAGAGTGTTATTGAGATAAATTGTTCAATTTTCTATAAGAGACTTAGCAGATTTAGAAATTTTGTTCGAACTCTGTAATCATGGCAGAAAATTGACGTTGCTGTCGATAACGCCGTACTTCAAAGGCAATGTTGAACGATATTGAAAAGATAATGTATTTTTTCAATAAGGATTTACCGTACAATTGGCCTGAAATCATCATACGAGCTTAGCGTATGTCAGATAGAGTTTAGAGCTAAGTGAAATGGTTTTTGTTAATATGTTACGTGTAAAAAAAAGTTCAACGATAATCAAAAAGATAAACATTGATGGTGCTTAAATTCTCATTTGACATGATAGTATCAAGTATAAGAGATGAAGGCTGGTACAAAAGTACACATCATTGTTAATTAAACTAATACGCATTTGCGTATAGGAGAGAATGAATAATAAACAAGTTTTTGACTTGAAGAAAAAGTGTATATTTTACCTTTGAAGCATTCTATTTTGCCATGCTAATAATTCGCTTTCAGTTTGTGTTCGCACATAACCTGATTCGTTGAAACCATAAGGAATATCATTAAAATTTGTCTGTCGTGGAAAATCTCCAATTGATTTCGATCGACCACGTAAAATAGATCGCGTGGATGATTGTCTCGATCTTGTATTCGTACGATCGAATGTGTTATTATCTATCAAATGTGACTTGTGTTGTTTTGTATCTAAAACAGATGCAGCTGGTCCTAATACCAGACGATCAACAACGGCAAAGTCTGATGTTTTTGATTTTTCATCGTCTTCAATGATTTTTGACTTATTATCATTATCGGGTCTAAATCCAAATCCATAATTATCAATATTCGCCTCATCGACGGTTATGTGATTATTATTTTTATTTTTAATCGTTGGCGTACGTAATTTAAATCGTCTATGATGTGAATTATTTCTACCAAATGCATCGACTAATCGTTCATTATTAAATAGATTCATATCATCTCCACCTCCTTGATAATTCGATTCAGTTGTTTTTCGATTTTGCCGTTTTGATAATGATTGACGGTTGTACGAATTACTATCATTGTAACGCCGCAGTCTTAACAATTGTTGTTCATCATCACCACTGATATTATCATCAATAAGAACGTTGTCAATGTCGTTAGTCGTTGTGTTCATTTTTGATCTTGATATTATCCTATCTGTATTACGATCACTAAATAATTCTGTACTTTGGGCACGTCGTAATGAATCGTAAGAATTAATTGACGACGGAAATAAAGAATCATCCTCAACATGAGAATGATAACCAAATGAATTTTTATCACTGCTATTATATGTTGTCCGATATGTTCGAGCTGATTTTGGCCGATTCTGATGTTGAAAAGGACGTTGAAATGCTGATTGATAATTATCAACCGCATTATCATCCATCGAACGTAATATTTGTCGATGTTGCGGTCGATATGACCTAGATATGAAAAATAAATGATCAATATAAGATGAACAAATGTTAAAGAAAATTATGTTAAAAACTAAAGCATTTGTGAAGATAACAGACAATAAATATCAATGGAAGAAATGGGTTTGTTCAATTCTAATACAAATTCCTACGTAACGGGAGAATTTGTGCTGCTAGGTTAGCCGACTGCAAAAATCACACACAAACCCATACGTCTATCTTTATCAGAACAAAAAACAAAATTAGTTTGAGGAGCACTTACCACTATATTAGATAGATTCTAGTCATTGTTTAGAGTAAAAATTATCCCGAAAGTTCTTCTTTACTTTTTCAATAAATGCATTGATTCAGACAAATTAATTTCGTTTGTACGAAATTGACTGCCTCAACAAATATGTCATTGAACAACTGCAAGTCACTGATTCTGCAAATATCATCATGCATTTAATTTCTTACAATTATTTCCTGTTTTTTATTAAATGAATCGGTAATTGAACTCACTTAGACATATGTATGTGTATTTCTAATCTATTTTCATTTCATATTCTTTATGGTATAAAACAACATTTTGTGTGTCGATTTGGTGAAGAAAAAGAACAGAAAAAAGAAATTGAGCTTTGATTCGGTTACAAATTTGGCATAAAAAAAAAAAAACCGCATCCTGTTACATAACGCGTATGTGTATGTGTAAGTTACACATCCCCATCTATCGATCATTTACACTTGATAAAATGGAATTCACCTTCATACACACAATCTAAACTTTAATAATTATTTAAATTTATTTGCTTGTTCGGTTTTTTTTTTTTTCTTTTTATAAAATATTATTCGCAATAGAAAAAGAATACATAATAAACTAGTCAAGGAAAATGTTTTATAGAAGCAAGCATGCAAAAACAAGGATGAAATCATCATTTTCACATATATTATTCCAATTTCTTTTCTTTCTGTTTTTAAAGTGTGAAAAAATATGGATAATGTATATATTGTTGAGTGTTAGTGTGCGCGTGCAGGTTTCACTACGAAATTGAGCTACGAAACTAAACATCTATAAATCTATCTTTCTTCTCTTCAACTTAGCAACCACTACTTACCAATACGGTACTGCCAGTTAGAATCTATAAATAGAAGACTGTCTGTAGGAAATGTGAAGGTAAATACATAGTTCTTTTTTTTTGTATTGTGAAGTCAATCATACACCTAGTGGATAAGAAATGTATTCAAAATTGAAAATAAATAAAAACATAACACAAAACGTAGATCCGATTTCCTCGCGTCACACCAGGCTTTTAGTTTTTGTTATTGGAACATAATTTCTTAAATGTTAACAAATGCCGTACATCCTGTATCTTCTAATTAAGAAAAGTGGCATATGTATTACATTCGAGAGAAAATAGACAGTAGTGTGTACAACACATAATCGAAGAAAGTTGATAATTAATTGTAGAAAATATATATTATTAGTCACTCTCGATATTCAATTTATCCTTTATTTGATGAGTGAAGACCTGGATAATGTAGCATCAGTCAAAATAACAAAAATTCGATAATTAAAGTTTTAACGTCATTAGTTTGAATCTTTCTGTTTCCACTATTAGCTTCCTGTGGAATGGTTAAACTTAGAACGGACGAAGTCGACTTTTCCAAGATTTATATCAGCCAATTTTAAAATTGGCATATGTTAAAATTTAAACGGCAATTTTGAAGACACACATTAAAACTCGAATGAATCCTTCATATGTAACACCATACAATATTTGTGTTCTCTGCTTTCTTTTTAACATATATCGAACTACTGCTGTGTGACATATCGAAGTCAAAATATATATCTCCTTGGCTTTATCACAATCAGCAATCAATTATACCATCATACTTATTACATCAAAAAAAGAAACAAAGTCAAAATTATGTACTTTGAAAAAACATTCAAGAATCTGTTATCAGCATTTATTGCACAACAATAGAAGAAAAACGTAAATTGTCTACCTTTCTATACTCAGACAGTTTTATGAGCCTCTTTTGTTAGTAAAAATTAAACTAATTACAACAAAAAAAAAGAAAAATAATATATTCAACATTAGAGAATAAAGGAAAAAAATTGATTAAGAATAAAGGAGAATCGAATATGTGTAAGAATACACGACGACGAGAAACAAAACATACTCAACAAGTTACTCATAGCCAATATTAGACTTTTGGCAAGTTAACTCTAACATATTTGACGTGAATCTTGTAGAAAATCGAGTTAATTATTATTGTTTTAAAGATTGAAACTTTAATTAAATTCTGTTTAGTTTTGTTTCATTAAATAAATAATCAGCTCAAATCATCTTGAATTAGTTTTTTTGTATATCAAAAAAAAAAAAATTAATTTAATAAAATAATAAAAAAAAAAATTAACAAATATTTTGATATCGATCATTATAAAACAATGACTAAAAATTGAATTTATAATATGTTTACTTTAGGACAGGTAAAATGTGTCGACTAATCATAACAAAGTCACTTCATGTATGTGTCTAGATAAAAATAACAGGATTTTTTATTAACTTGTAATTCATAAGCAACCCATACCGTTAGTCTCATAAAATAAATGAAAAATATATTTTAAATTTACTATTAAATTGATACAATTCACACGCATACAAGATACGATATACTCGTGTAAAACAAATAATAGATCAAGCAACTCTTGACAAATACTATTTACTGATAGTAACCAATCCACGTTAATAGTAATATTAATGCAGAATAAGAAACATGGATATTAAAAATATATTCTTACCTTTTGTTTGATAATATTTAGAAATTAAAATAGTAAATAAAATAATTAATTAATTATTTATTATCGTTTACTTTTTTTTCTAAATTATTACTATTTTCTTTTTTCTTTAAACGATACTTGTACAGATATCTATCCTGATAACAGAACAGAACAGAACATTATACTTCTGTCCGTTGTTATATTTTAACAACTGTCTCTGTATGTGTATTCATCATAGCATGATTAGAGTCAGATGTACTACTTTTTTGTCTGACAAAAAAAGTAGGAATAATTTATAATAGGTAGAAGAAGAGAAAGAAAAGAGAGAGTATATCTTCGATTAAAAAATATGTGATATTTGATATTTAGAAAATGTACCTGGTTCAATCATTCGTTCTAGTTATTGTCTGTTAAGAGTTAAATAAATACACCTTAAAAACAAATGAAAACATGCGCTTCGCGTTTAAATAGACACAAATTTATTAATCGGAACATTTAGAAAAAAATAGAGAGAATTTCATAAGAAACTATCGACGCGTTTTAATTATTTATCTTCTAAAAAAAACAATATAGTAATTGCTCAATGGAATACATGTTCACCAAAGCAAGTCTGGAGAAGAATTAAGGTAGAGAAAAAAAATGTGAAAAACGTTTTTAGCCTATTGATTTTCTCTTAAGATTCTGATAACGCGTTTTTCTAGACGATGTTCTGGTTGACATATACTATATCTCAATGTATCTATGAAAGGTAGAAATAAAGATTAGCTCCCATCATTTTCCTCATTTTTGATCGAGAGATTATGTAGAGCGCATTTAAGATTTAAGTTTGCGAACAGCATCCATTGTGAAACACTTGTTTTCTAATAAGAGGAAGAAAATGGCTGAAAAATCTAAATTCTCCAATCTCAATGTTATAAGTCGTAGCGTAAACGAGTTAAAAGATCTCAATTTACACAATGTCAGTTAAAGAATGATTCATATCTTCACTGTACATATTTCTCATCTTAAATATACTACTCACTGCTGTACTAAAGTGTAAATATTTAAATGAAGAGTTTTACTCTCGGGTCCTAAGACAATCTATGCTACCGATGTTTTCTTAATTAAACTCAACTAAAAGTTAAAATAAGTATCATTGAAAATTTTTAAATATTGTTTAAAATCTAACTAGTCTAAGTTTTTCGATATTGCATTACTACATACAAATGAATTTGATTTTAGTGATACAATCTATGACACGAATATATCCGATTCATCGAGTAATTGATTTATTAATCGATCTTTGTATTTTTTTCCACAAAAATTTCCTGCCTTATATTCATAAATGAAAGATGGATGTAAACTTTATATATAACAGAAAAATCGAAAACAAAACGTAAAGAATCTTTCGACGATTACTTGTACAATTAGCTCAAGTGTTACTTTGTTAATAATCTCGATGTTACACATTTCATTGTTCATAACTGATCTCCTCTCTAATGGTGTTTACTCTTCCTTACTTCATTCTTTTTTTTAAAACAACGAACTTTTTGGTGGGCTATTGGTTCCATTCACCATTTCGTTATCTTTCTATAGTGTTAATCTTTAAAACATCTTACAATTTATCATTTCTTTAACCTATAGTGGAATAGGTTATAAGAAAATTAGCCTGCATGTCCAACATTTGTTCAAAATATATCAGATTTCATTATTTCTTATTAACAATATACTATTTTATATGATTACTATCCTAGGTGGATAAAGAGAGACAGAAAGAGTTACACAGCCAGACTATCAATAGTAGAAATAGAATCAAGTACTCGAATATTTTTAACAATGTTTTTAAGCGTTGCATACTAATTCGCCGCCTCTTATACTTACATTGAATATTTAACTAAAACTATATGAGTACATATTGTTCAGTGTTCTTTTTAAATTTATTATGACGATCTTTCTTCTTTTTTTTTTTTTAAATTTTAAAATTGTTGAGCGTCTTTCGTTCACTCAGTACACGTGCAACATATAGCTATGAAGAATGAACGAAAGCTGATAGAATACGAAAGAACAAAATAAAAAAAAAAGAAAGAATATTTGGGGGCATAGTAGTTGAAAAAATTAATAATATCAGATATAGTACATATTCGGGGGCATACAGTGTCTATAACTGAAAACAAAAACAAAACAAAGACATACACGTAGTGAAGTTCAATCATTCAAAATGAGCTCATATATGTAATTATATGATAAGGAGAGATATAACAAAGTCTTTTTTTTTTGTAATTTATGCAATGTAGATGAATTAGTAAAACTGTTTACCCGTGTAGAATACAGACGACTGAAAGTAAGCCATCTTTTGAATAGTTGTCGTAATGAATAAGAAAAAACTACTCACAGGCTTTCAAAAAATTAAAAATATTCACAATTTAGAGTTTTAAGGAATGCACTATAAATCGTAACAAAATCACACCACTTGTTCAAGGGATATTTCGAGTGCCCGAAAATATGCTTTTGATGAATCTTCATCGAGGGCCCATTTTCACGTACTTGTCGCACCCCTCGAACGACTTTTTTCATCTGCACGGGAATGCTCTTAAGAACGTTGAGTTAAATGCTGTTTCAAACAAATAGTGTAACAAAAAATTAGAAGATTTATAACAGAATTTAGTATAAAGTAGACGTACACGCACATTGCGTATCGATCACAGCACAGATAATCAATATGTCTTTTTTTTTCGGATGATTATTAAAATATTTGAGCAGTAATTCAATAAAACGGTCATATTTATTCTAACTCTTGTCATTTTTCTGCTCAAAAAAGTTATTGTTGAGTATGAACTTTTCTTTTTCAATTAAAAAATTAAATCTTATATATTAGTACTTAATAATGCTAAAAATATGAGTGTGATCTTTAAGTAGTACAATTAATAACGTTGTACGTATACTCATGTCTATAAATGAAGAATGGTCTGTTTATAAGAAAACGCATGCATTTTACAATCAAATTTAAATGTAATAAGCATCGTTTTCAAGTATATTTGCCTCATTTAATCTCTTCAAGTATACGCGGATACTTTACTCGTTTTTATCAAAAAAAGACGTACACATTTACAATTCAAATAAAATCGTATAAATATAATTCGGTGAAAGAATAAATGCAAAAAACGTAGTTTTACCGTTGTCGAAACGAATCAGTTGTTGGATAATCTTTGTCCAAAATAACATCACGATTATTATCATCTGTTTCAATCAATTCTGACAATGTGTTACTACGCAAGTTAAATTAGTAAATTATGTTGGTTGCTTACAAATGATGTTACATATCATACCCAGTTAGAATATCATTGACAATAGATGACGATAAACGTAGGGCGTTTTCCCACTAAAAGAGCATAATAAAAATCAAGTTATCAATAACAAAATATTTCGATTTACTTGAATCATTGCATTTTTGTTATTTGCTGCCAAATACAATGGTTTAACCAACTGTTTTTCAGGGTCATAGATCTAAATAAAATTATGTATAAAATATGATAAAAATATGATGTGTAGAGGCTAATTTACCTTAAATGTATAGCCCTTGCTATAAAGTGGTTCACCTTTATGAGTAATTGAAACTCGGAAATTTTTTATGTCTATAATTGTTTCTAAATGTTTGTAACGAGAATCTAACCACAAGTAAGAGAGAAACAACAACAACAATATATTTTTGTTCATAACCAAAGTAACAAATAATTCATAAATAATCTACCTGAATAAATACTTAACAAATTATCTTGCAATATTAGCCAACGTTTTCTCCATGGTTTAAACCCTTTGGTATAGCAATAAAGCATACCATTTTTTTCTACAATGTTTTGCCTAAATCGATCAAAAAACAATAAAAGACTCGTTCCCGAAGAGAATTTTACGTCTTAGATTTTAGACACGTTAGATCAATTTAGTTCTCCCTGTACAATACTAACATAACTTATCCATTTTTTATTAGAATGAACGGCAAATAATTTCGCCTATCCACATAATAGTACATGCTCACAGCGAAGTTCAGGATGTTTAAAAGATCTATTCACAATTCGCCAAAATTGTAATCTTATCCAAAATAAATCAATGAAAGTGATTCAATATTTTCCTTTTCTCTCTCTCTATGTGAAGACGGAAAGATGTATTGTCTTCATTGCCAACAAAAAAACAACGAAGAACACTGGTACATTAACACTTATATGATTGACATTTAACATTATGATTGAGGTTCAAACTATTATTGAACACACTAAAACAAACAGATAGAATGGAATAAAGTTAAAAACTGAAAAGATAAGACAATTGAAACAAAATGTTGTGAATGACGATGAATTAAACATCGAATAAATCAGAAACGAGAATATTCTGGAAGAGATAAAACTATGACATAAACAAAAAAGATAATCTTTCAAATCATTAGACTAAATTGGATTATAATTAAGTAGCGTATTATTGTGCAATATGAAACAATATTTTTCAATAGAAACAATAAATCTATCCATGTACAGAAGAAGAAGAGTATTCAGATACTTGAGTGAAACAGAATTTATCCTTCCACAACGAGCAATTGCGGTGTTAAGAAGTTAAATAGAAAGTTTTCTAATGTTCAAATGATAAAATGGCTAGAGCGTCTCACAATTGAAGACTTCCATATTCGAGAGAATAATGAAAACAAAAATTCGTGTATGAGAAACATATAGTTTTAAGAACTAACTATTTTCCTTCTATTCACAAACTATCCTGAATAAATATCGTGCTTGATATATGCCCTTTGAAATGATTGAAATCTGATCAATACAAGCCAAGATGAGTGACTGACTATGTGTTATCGATTTACTTTACCTTTTCATTATGGTAATTGTTGATATAAAAACATGAAAACATGCATATAGCTCGCTCAATATTGCATTTAGCAAAAAAAAGTCATTTGAATGTGTTTCTATCGAATATATATTTTGTTCTCATTCTCAGGTGTATACAACATACATTCATATAAATATATATGAATCCTCATAAAGAATAAAAGAAAGAAAACTACCTTTTTTTATTGTTGTTATTAATTCTGACTTGGGATGTTTGTTTCATTACTTTTCATTCAATATGAGTTTTAAATTTGTCAGAAATTGGAGATACAAAAATTAACCATGAGACACTAAAAGATTAAAATCATGTACAAAGAAAGATTAGCTGAATGAATCTTACTTTTTCTGAGCTAAACTGCTCCATCGTTCATGGTCAGATATAGTCTGAAAAGCCTCACGTATACAATAGAAAAAGACTCACAAAAAGGTTAAAATCGAGATTTTGAATTTCATAAAATCAGACAAAGATAAATTTGACAATTTTCATGTTAAACCACGAATACTTTGTTCTTCATAATTTAACTGAAAACTTATAAGAGGGTATACTGACAACTTGTCGGAAGTGTAAAATGTTAACATTTTTAGTTGTGAAAAAAGCATCAACAGAATTTCATGTGCATCGTCAATAAGTTTTTCCCAGTTGTAACAAATAAATAAATCATTAATGTAAATATATTTCTAATTGTAGATTAAATTAGAATAATATAAGAATTTAATATAGTTAACGTTAACTCTTTGATTTTTGCTTGCATGGATCGAAGGCAACTAATGATAAAGAAAATCATTTTGAAAATTACGATTCTTCAGAAGTAAGAAAAATAGTCTTATTGTTTGTCTTTTGTCCAGTGATTGACGTTTTGATTCTATACACATCACACATGCGCTAGACTGGAAGATTCTGTAGATACATTACTTTTGCATTAATAAATTCGTGGTCAAAGATGTTTATTCTTCAAGTAATATATAAGCGTGTAAATGACTGTCAAAAAATCTCACAACGTTCAGGTGGCTGACAGTATGGTCACCCTTTTCTAATGTGTTTCTCTCAGAACAAGTGTGTAGAGAAAGGAAAGAAAATTTCGCTTCTTTTTGACGTTTTCTCCTCTGCGTTGAAGGAAAAATTCTCCGTTTTAAGTTAAGACGTTAAATATTGCCAGAAAACTCTTTTCGTATTAAATACGGCGTCTCTAGTTTAATTCATTTACGTGGAAGTAGGCATACTTGTACGAGCAGTTTACCTACCGCTGCTAAAACATAATGTTATCGATAATACTGGTTTCTACAAAGAATTTTGTGGTATGGGACCTTCCGTAAATTGAATGCTGTTTCATGAGAAAAGTACTTAGAGAGCTCGGAGACGTCTCATATTGTCCAGAAAGCTTTGCTCTACTCGACTGAGCTAATGGTAAAAAGTTCAATTACATTTGTACACAAGAAAGCCAATAAATACAGAGGGGGTAAGCTTTTTTTGACCCACTCTGTATGTATCACCAGTATGTGAACAGAAAGATCTATCTTTTTTTGTTCAAGATACCGTTAGTTTACCGTTCAAAGCGAATTAGAGCCATACAGTGGCGGATCCAGAATTATTCTTTGGTACGTGCGGTATATGATAAAAGTGCGAGATACGTGCGGTCCTCATTAGAAACAAATTATTCTATGAAAGTTCTGCTGGGAAAAAACAGTGTTTTGGTTAAAAGGTACGAGCGGTCACTCGTACCGCTCGTGGGTTGGATCCGCCACTGGAGCCGCATACATATTACAGACGTCTTAATCATTCCTTAAGTTGTTGTAACCCCTCCTCCCAAAATAGAAGGCCAGTCCGGAGCGAAAATTTTTGAAAAACGCCCTATGCACTAAAAAAAGTGCGATGTGCGAAACCATAATAGAAGGACATGGCCTTCTATTCTGGGGGGGGAGGGTATCCATGCACCGTTATTTATCAGTATGCCTTATCCTTATTCCTAATCAGATCGAACGAAAAGTAAGAAGTATCAAACTCCTAGACAACTCAGTTTTGCAGAGGAAACATTTTTTACAAAATGACGTATGATGAAACTCTTCATCTTTTCCTTTCTGCCAATCAATCCGTGCAATCGCTTGTCAATGAAGATCTATAAACCGTATTGATTGGTATCGGTCGTGAGCGTTCAGCAAACATGTTTTATCTGAATACAAACGAAAAGTACTGTCATACCTCATTTGTAACGAAATGTTTGCTCTACAAAATTCAGTTGTTAAAAAAGTTTATCAGAGCATTTTGTATAATGAAGACGTTTTTGTGAAAAAGTATAAAATTGCAACTGATGTGACTGGACTTTATTACCAACTTGATAAAATGTTCATAAAAATAAATATAAATATGACATCCAATGTTTATCTATTTATTCTCATGTGTGAACTATAAACGTGATTATTAGTGGATTATAACGTCGTAGTCCGCTATAACGTCGTTATTTTCTAAGTAGGGAACTGTAAGCCGAAAATGTATTCACTGTGGTTAGAATCTTATATTGGATGGCACAAAAAGTTATACAGTTAGTATTTTCAAAAATTCTCCGCTTCCTTATAATTAATTGAGCAATTTTTTTTACTAAAATATAGCGCGTTTAATTCTGTAAAAAGTATGTATTGACTGTTTTATTGCAAAAATCCGAAGGTGGAAAATAAGATGAGAAATCTTATGAAGTGCAAAAATTCCGAAAAAATAACGTATTTTCTCATAGAGAGCTATATTTTTTTGAATGATTTCACAAACATCAGAGCGCGGTTTGAGTTTTACTTTGTGTAGTTTCACATGTGCTGTCTCTCATAGCATGTAACAAAATTTGTTTTGAGTGAAAATATCCGACGAAAAGATTGACTTATCGAAAATCAGTCGAAAACAGAAAATTATTTATCCACGTGTGATAACAAAGGAATTTTTTTTTCAAATCTTACCGATTCCACAATAAAGACTAATCTGATCTTCAAAATAAAAAAAATATTCTGAAAGGATCAAGTTTCACTAGACTATACTTGTTTTATCGAATGATGCAAATTTCTGATAAAAAATCGTCATGTTTAGGAAATTTTCAAGAAAAAACCGTTACGCTTATGCCCCCAGTCCTAACTGTAAAAAATTTTTAGTCATAGGTGGAAGATAGAACTTTCCAAGGCCTACACGATAGCTACTTTCTTCACCTTTCTTTCTCCCACAAACGTTTAGCAAATAAAACTTGAAAAGCGGTCGTTTAACTTATTTTTTCTCCATTTTTGCACTTTATAAGATTTCTCATCTCATTTTCCACCTTCGAATTTTGCAATAAAACAGTCAATACATATTTTGCACAGAGTTGAACGCGCTATATTTTGGTAAAAACATTTACTCGATTAAGTATAATGAAGCGGAAAAAAATTGACAATACTAACAGTGCAATTCTTTTTGTGGTATCCGATAAGAAAACAAGTATCTGTTTCTATCGATTACATTTTATTTTTTTAACGAAGTTAACAACCATCGTCTGAATTGAAATCAAAAGTACAACAACAACAACAACAAAATATGTCATTGTTTAAGGCATATCTTCATCAGCCACCTTCGAATTTGTACTGTCTTTTATCAATACAAACAATTAAAAGCCAACTCCAACATCCATTGCATTCGAGTAACTCAACTGTTCATAAATATCATCAATACAATGGTCGGACACGATACTAAAAAACGAGCGTACGACACTATCCTCTACTGGCGTTTGTTATTGGAGAACAAAGCTCTTTCTGATGAGTTGAATGGCAACCTTTTTCAAAGTTAGAAACCAAAATTTTGTATTATCTAATATTTTTCGTAGTTTTGCAGTTAAACCTGAAGTTATAGTCTAATTTTTTATGTATAAACTATTGCAATCGGTAGATTAAAGTGAAAAGCCTTACATCGATTTAATTTTTATTCTTTAACTAAAACAAATCAAACTTTATTAACTGCTGCTTATATCTCTTTCCGTTTAATGGTCAATACCTTAGATTGGTCTAATAGTGATCCAACTCTTCATCAATGTCTTATTATTCGAACGTGTACGATTCAACAAGGATACAGATCCAGCATACGATTAGGCTCAAACTGCTTGGACTACAAAGACAATATCTTTTTCATGTCATTACAGACAGAAGATAAAGATTTTTATTTACATTAGATACACACATAAGAGACAACGAAAAATCAATAATCTTTTTCTCTTAAATAAGAAAATAAAATAGAAAAATGTTTTTCATTCATAACGATATCGTGCTGATTGTTGTTACTGGAAAATATTTAGCAATACGTGTATTCAATAATATCCACAAAAATAACGTGCACTTGTTAGAGAATAGCAATCTAATTTATTTAAATAAATATTAAGATTATGAACAGTACAGAATAATAATGAATACTTGTATTAAGTCGATGGTGGATTTTTCTTTCCAAGCAACTTAAATGTTTGTTTTCCTTGTGCTACATAACTTAACCAAGACACACCTGTCGATGCTGCCGATAACAAATAGATTACTGTCATCCAATCTGAATGTTGATAATTGAAAACGGGACTTGCAAGACAAAGAGTGAATAAACCAATTTGTACACCCGTGTTAACTTTGCTAACAAATGTTGGATATAATTGGACGGTGGCCTCTTTCATGTTCAATACTTTTTTCAATGTTCGTGGTTTATCAACAGATATAAATCGTATATAACCAGCTACAAGCATAATAGCAATATCACGAACTAATATCAATGCTAATAACCATAATGGTATCAAAGCTTTGTACCAGGCAGCAATAACAACAACACCGACCAAAATTTTATCGGCAAATGGATCAAGAAAGCTTCCAATGGCTGATTGTTGAGATGGAAATCGTCTTGCTATATAACCATCAAGTAAGTCAGTCATACCAGCTGATAAAAATAGGATCAACGCTGATGTATAATATTCCGTTACAATGAAATAACCAATTAGAGGTGTACACAGGATTCGTCCTACTGTTAGTGCATTTGGTATTGTTAAAAAACGATCTTTTTTCTTTTCTTCTTCATTGTTCTTAGTAGTATTATTATTATTATTAATCAATGAATTCGATTTGATATGTTCACTACTTGCTGATCTTTGTTTGAATAAACATGTAGTCGTACTAGAACATTTTTTCAAAAGTTGTTGGGATGATATTTTAGTTAAAAAACGCTGATGAGATATCCGATATTGAGCGATGAATGGAGACGACAATGGTACAACTAAAGTTTTTTTCGAGTTTTTTATACAATTAGAATAAATTACTCTAAAAATTATGTGAGACAACGCCATGTTTTATTTCTTCTTATTCTGAAATATCTAGAAATACATATTATCAAAATTCTGTATATTAGTTTCAACATATGCCGTCATTTATATTCAAATAACAAAAATGCCTTCATTATAGTTTTGTATACTGGGACTATTTGTTTCTACAAATCACTTTTCATTTAACCTATATTTTTTTCAATTCTAATGAAAAAAGTTTATACAAAAAAAAATGAGACCAAAATATCTCAGACACAAGCATACATGTGAATTTCAAAAATACAACAAATCAAACAAATGACGAGAAAGTGAAAGATATAGAATACTCAGACTGAGATATCAGTATTCCGAGAATTCTTTTTTATAACGGTCTGTTTACAATGACAAACACATGAAGAAATTAGAAAAAATGCACACTAATATCTATTTCACAAAAAATATTTACAAAGAAAAAGAATCGAAGAATACACAATGTTTTTGTTCTCTTCTTAGAAAATGAACAGAACATAAATATAAGGGCAAAATTCGTTTGTATAGAATAGGACGGTAACAAAGAGTAGCACAGCTAAACATGTAATTTAGTAGAAAACAAAATAACAAATAAAAAGATAAATCCATACTGGATTATAAGTAACAAAATTCATGATAAAATATGCGTGTATACAATTCAAATAAATCACAGTAATTAAAAAATCACACAGATTAGAACAAAACACAGAAAATTCGAACATACACCTATATAGCTTATCATATTTATCTTGAACCTTTTACTTTCGAGTTATCGATTGACGTATACGTCTATAAATAAAGAAAATTGATATTTGCTAACCCAAATAAATTGCATTTCGTTTATCTTGTTGAGTTAGGGGGACTAGTTGAACTATTATTGCTAATCGCTATTGTCGACATCGATGGCGACGATCTCACTGCTGGAATTGTATCCATTTCTTCACTAAGAAAAACAAATATATTCTGTTAGCTATAAAACTTGTATCACTACATCATACACACAAATTCAGTCAAAAATCCTTTTCCCATCATCCCTGGGGGATGAGCCAAACAAAATACGAATGCTTTATTCAATAGAGAGAAAGAAGACTGTCAGAAAAAATTCTCTACATTTTACAACCCATTTGAACTAAACTTATAGAAGTTGTAGAAATATCAAGTGAATAAGTTATGATAAAAAATTTGTTCGAAATCCTGAGTGATTTTAGAGTTTAATAGTTGTCGTTAAGATCAAAATGTAACTGTTTGTAAGGTACACTTTTCTTGTGGTAGACGAGAGTTAAAGAAGTTTTAAATGAATGTAGATACCGGAATGATTTTTGAATTTCGTCTTCGTTTCTTTCTGATATGCGTTGAAAGTATCAAACTCTTCTTTTCTTTTTTAATAAAATCCAAAAATTCGTTTCGAGTAGTTTTCAGATTAATGTCTTAGCTCTCAAACAAACAACAAAATTCATTGTTGCGTCACTGTCGTCCGTGGGGAAAATGTACTTTATTGAGCGATAGAGACTCAGCTGTTTCTCCAATGGCACTTTTTAGAACTTATAGAAACATGCGTATGTCTCTCGCCTACATCATCGAACAGAGCTACGTCATATCTTATTTTAACAAGAAATATCGGCTCCACAAATGTGACTATTTGAAATACAGTATTGACCGAGAGGTGATTGAACTTCAGCAACGATGGTTTTTAGGGTTTTTAAAAGAAGTTTTTTCAAAATCTACAAGAATCCAGCAGTAGGTAAATAGTAATATAGATTCTGAAAGTAGAGCCACTTCAGTCTACTCATCCATTTAACACACTCGAATTTTTGGTCGAACAATCGACTTCACTCTTAAATCGACTTTTTCGAATAAAAACGAACTCTATGCACTTACAGGTCAATTCTTGTTGAAGTTAGAGATGATTGTCTTCCTGTGACTGTTATCTGACTTTCAGTGATACGATCACTAACAGTATCACCATTTGTCGTACTCGTTGTTATTTCATCCTCATCACTATAAATTTCCCTGGTCTTTATTATGCTTTTCTTCGTAATATCTGACGAACCATTTTTCTTCATTTCACTGTTTCTTCGCGGTGGTGATGGTGTGACTTGCTCCTCCTCTTCCTAAAAGATAAAGAAACAATTTAATTGTAAAACACATATTAGGTACATAATATTATCAAATAATATATTCGTAATAGAACAACCACCTATCAATGATTAAATCGAATAAAAGTCGCAAAAATAACTTGAATATTGACATCAGTACTGAGAGTAAGTTAAACTGAAAACTATATAGGAAGCCCATTTCACACATTCTTTTTCTTAAAAAGTTGTATCTGTCTTCGATAATTGGATGAATACACACACACACGATAAAAGAGTCGTAGAATATTTTCCCTAGCAAGCTTACCTCTTCTGTCGTTTTAGCTCTCATTGTTTGCAATGTATTCATTCGTCCTGACAAGTGTTTTGCTTGTGGTGATGGTAATTGAGGTGGAGATGGTACAACAATAGTCTGTCGCTTTCGTGTTGTTGGAAGTCGAAGTGGACTGGAAGTTTCACCTTTTTTTCTATTACCATTATTGAACGAATAGATAGTGTTTTCGTCATCACTACCACTGTTCACCTTGTCATTTATATGATTTTGTCTTCTAGATTTGAAAATTTTTATCTGACATTTCGATTTCATTATTGGTGAATTTGACTCATCGCCAGAATAAGAAGAATCAGCACTGCTTGTTGTACGTTTTCGTTTCATCGCGTGCTGGTCGTCTTCTGCTTCTTCGCAAGCGCTCATAATTTTCTTTTTCCTTTTCCCGTCTTCTTCTGGTGTTGTACTTGTTTCATCGGCTACTTCTTCGCAGGCGCTCATAATTTTCTTTTTCCTTTTCCCGTCTTCTTCTGATGCTGTACTTCGTTCATCGGCTGCTTCTTCACAAGCGCTCATAATTTTCTTTTTCCTTTTTCCGTCTTCTTCTGGTGTTATACTTGTTTCATCGGCTGCTTCTTCGCAGGCGCTCATAATTTTCTTTTTCCTTTTCCCGTCTTCTTCTGGTGTTGTACTTCGTTCATCGGCTGACAGCAACTTTTTTGTTGTTTTACCTGTTTGGCCTGCCATCATTATTGTTGGCATCGTAGATGGTTTGTATAGCTTTAATTTAAAATCTTTCGGTAAACACGAATAATGATTAAATTTTGTTTTCTTATAATAATTTTCTGGTAATGGTACGACTGAACTCGCCGTACACATCATGATGGATGATGCACGTTGTGATAGTATAACATAGGTTAAATCAGCTAAAACATGAAGCTTTTTTGTTGAATCTTTTCGTTCTAATGCATCATTTCTATTCTTCGATATTTTAACATCTTCTGATGATTTAATTGAACGTAATAAACCCTTATAAAATAGGCCAACAGTTGCATCACAACGTAACAATAATGAATCAATTAAAAATAGAATATAATCGGTCATTGTATGTAATAAATCATTGTCATCAGGTAAAATATATGCTGGTGATTTTGATAGAAAATAAATAAAATAGGCTAATGAATATTCTGGATTCAATTTACAATCAATTGTTGATCTGTTCCCTAATGTTTGATTATTATTCAATAAAGCATTGTCATCTTCACTTTCCATATCATTAATTGTGGCTGTTTTATATGACAGTTGTAATTTAATATATTCACGACGTTGATCTATGACAGTTAACATTGATCGACGTATTTGGTCTCGATGCTCTCGTTCAGGTTCTTTGGCAGCAAATGCAACGAGTGCTAATAATTCAACGGGATTCGTTGGTTCACGTAAACGATCAATTAGTTTACGATAGGCTTTTGAACGAATTCGAGATAATGGATCCTACAAGAGAAGGAAATTATATTCAAATATCGTCCAAAAGATAGAATAATCGTATTTTTATTTCTGTAATTTATACTAGTAGATCCAAAGAATGCTCTTTATACAACTTACTCTTAATAATGTTAAGATTAGAAAAAAATCATCGGGTATTATATTGGGATAAAAGTATGGATTACATATCAATTGTAATAAACATGACAGACCACATAATCGAATATAAGCAACTTCTGCTTCACTAGAATAGAGGAGCAAGGATAAACATGACTACAATAAACTCGTTTTTTGTGTTGTCATCATACTTCAAGCGCCCAACGAAATCCTCATCATTTCCTTCTATACATTTTCGAATTAATCTATACACAATAGGAAATAGTCCAATTGAATTATCTTGTAAACCACAAACAGCCCGTGTCATTGCTTTGATCAACTCACGCTAAAATATAGAGGCTATATCTTCAGTTACATTCAAGGAAGACTACTCTTCTTTACCTTCACACGAGTTTCAGGACCGATTTCTGAATCAGTATTTGGTTCATCGGGCAACAATGCAAAATTCTGAAAACAAGAAAAGCAAAACGTTATTTTGAGATAGAAAAAAATCGACATGTTTATACGTGTTCTTTGTCTGAATTTTCGTCCAAAATATATCTTGAAATCTTTCCTAGAATACGTTTTCCGCTTCTGCCAACTGTTAACGGAGCTAAATAAATCATATGACCAAGTGCAACTAATCTTGACGCAAACAATTGTTCACCATCGATTTCATCGTATAGAGTATCCTAAAATAAAGAAAAAAACATTGCCAGCATATTAATTTGATTTGATATACACAGGTAAACTTACTTCGATTATTTTTTGAAATATTTTATCTCTTGTATCTGGATATAATGCATATAGACAATGAATGACACGTTTGACAATGGGAGGATGTAAACTGAGTAATTCTAACAATTGTGACTGAAATGATCTAATAAGACCATAAACCATTACAAAAACAAAAATATTTCTACTTTCTCTATCTAACTCACGTATGTAATGTTGGATTTTTTGCAATTATTGATGGTGCACATACCTCGATTATTTTCAATATCATAGGAACTAAAATAATATAGAATACTCAGTAAAAGAACGAAATATTTGTTAACAAATTTAGTCTTTCTAATTTATCAAATATTACCTAATTCAAGTATTCGTAAATTTAATAATTTACTCAATGTTGTTTGTATATCGGTGTGATCGAAAATAAATGGATGTTGAAGAAATATCTTAAAAAGAAGTTATGAACAGATAATCTTTGCTGTCACAAAAAGACTAATATGTACCTTCAATAGTTGATTGATATTTTCATAATAAAGAGGTGTTTGCTCTTGTTCTTAAAATATAAGAATTATTCAGATTCATGTTACGTATCATGTTCAGCATTCTAGACATAACTTTAACACATACCACTAACTATTTTTCCATAAATAAATTCCAATAATTTAGCCATTGATTCTTGATCAAATAGTAACGTTGATATTTTTTCAAATACAGTTTTGACTAGTGTACACATTTTAGCAAATTGACCATTTCCATTTAAATCTGAGATTGTTGATATTTCATCTTTTCGTTCAGGAGTAGTTGTTGGACATCGTTTTTGTTCTTTTATTGATTCATCGAGTAATTGTTGACCAATAATATTCTAACATAAATACAGTAAATATATACGATGATCATTTTTAGTGTCTACTACTTACAGCATAAGCATATGCTTCTTTTGAATTAATATTTTCAGCTAATGCTTTTTTCAACAGCATCAACATACTTAACGTTGTTGAAGAACGTTCTCGATGTGTTTTGATTGCATGAACAACAAAAGCTTTTAATAAAACTTCATTTTTTTCAGGATTTGGTAATGAACCTAAAAAACAAACATATGTCAAACTGATAATTGGTTAAGTAAATTTTAAAAATCTGTATTACGTGTAGAAATACTATGAATCAAATTGACAAGTTTTATTTCTGTCAACTCTTTTTGATCATTTGACGTTGACGGATCAGCCATTTGTAAACCAAGTTCAACTACCCTGAGTAAATGTCGACGAAAACTGAAATTAGAAAATGAGATTTAGTTTAGCTTAGAAAACTAGAGTATCAGCAATAAATACACTTACATAAACTTGGTATTGAAAATTTCTCGAATCGCACTGAAAAAAATGTACGGGATATTTCAGTGTGAATGAACAAAACAAGCACAAAATATTACTTACCGTTGAGCATTTTCATCAACATTTGAGTATAAATTAAGTAACACACGAACTTTTTCATCTGCTGAAAAATCCCATGGCATCAAATAAAAACTGAGTATTCGTTCGGCTAATAATCTAAAAATAAACGTTTTAAAAGATGGAAGCTTCATAAATTATGAGCAACATACTTATCTTGTAATGATGCTTGATAATACAAATTAATGATACAATTAGCCACCCATGATAATTGCTTTTGAATTTTATCTGACCAACTACCAGATGAACATTCTTTTTTATAACAATGACCAAGAAAATCCAATGTTTCTTTACGAATTTCCCACTTAAAAATTTTGACAACAACATCATTAATTCCCTCGTAATAAAGAAGAACATGTCATTTTTTCTCACCACTTTATCTCTTGCTCTTTCAATTAAAATTGATCTCATTGTTGCATTAATATTCTCTAAATTACCATTTAATATTACTCGTACTTGTGCAATTATTTGAGTTCGAATTTCTTGATCGGGTGAATGACTTAGTTGATAAATCAATGCTAAAAAACAATAAAAATATCAAAATCTTGTACTTTTACAAATAAAAAAAATAAAAAACACCTACGTTCTAAATCTGCACGTAGTTCTTGATGATTGAAAAAAAAATTTTTTAGCGGTTTAATACATGTCAATTGGATATCTGTGGTATCTCGAAATCTTAACAAGAAAAAAAAAGCAGTCATTAATCATGTGCTTTTATGTTAAAGAATATATCTTGTACTTTTGTAAAAATGTTGTCCAAAGACTTTTATGTTTTAAAGCAAAATCATTATTTGGTGAACTCAAGACATATGCGACAATTTTTGTTGCATCACGACGATGTTTTTCATTTGCTACCTAAAAAACAATTGATAAAACATTTTTCTATGTTTTTTTCTAAACTTTCTATTTACCGTTAAACGATGTTCGATAAACGGAATTAGATCATCAACAATCGATTCGGATATATGACAAAATTCGTCAAATATATAATAGATTTTATTTGCCAATTTTAAATTTTCAATGTCTTCTGTTACAAGAACAGCTTTGAAATACTAGAGAAAAAAAAAATGATGTAATATTGATAGATGAGCATAAATTAAGCCAAGTAATTTACATTAACAATAGCTGATTTGAGATAGACTTCGGTCTTTCGTATAATTGATTCAACTAATTCATAACATTCTTCTCGCAATTTCTAAATACATGAACGATAATACAGTTTGAAATTATAAAGTAACAATCTCCACCAACTCGATTCAACACAACGGCTAGATCAAATCGACTCCATTCATATTAATAAGAGTACCATTGGTGTTCAAAACAAAATAATAGCAAGGTACCTTCTCAGGATCAATTATTCGTTCAAACAATAATTCTAATAATGGAAATGGTACGGATTCATATTCAGCTAAGAGAACAGATAGTAGATCGTTCATCAAATTTTTCAATTGAACACTATGGTTTTTCCTATAAAGAGAAGAAAAAAAAATCAAACAGAACGACAATAGACATGAAAGACGATAGACAAAGAATACATACTGTACAGCATTAAATAAATTTGTAAAAATGACACTACTAATCTGACATCCATTGTTCTCTTCTAGACTGATTGCTGGTATAAATGATTGAACCATACTTAAATTCTAGAGATACAAATGTAAAAAGCAGTTCATATTATATACATAGACAGAAATAACTATTACTTCAATCAAATAGTATCTTCTATTATACAACGGATCATCTATATCTTTTAATCCAGATAATTGTCGAGCCAAAAATAAGAACATATTCTTAAACAAGAGAAGACAAAAATAAACTAAATTCAGTAAGAATAATGATAAATTACAAGCGTTTTTTCTGGTGGTATATCGGGTAAATTTGGAGCCCATATTCTAATGATATCAGCCAAACAAATTGCGGCAGACAACTGAACATCAGGTCGTTCATGTAAATAAAAATAATCGTTGACTAATGTTTTGTATAAAACAGTAAATGATTCACGTTTTTTATAATTTTGTGGAAGTGATTGTAATAAACGCTGATTTTTCTATAACAGAAAAACAACAACAGATAACTTTACTAGCCACATGTTAACAATAATCACCACAATACTTACGTTTAAGTTTTCTAGTAATTTATTTATGGGTAAATTAGTACTACAACTTGAAACTTGAGACGGTAAAACTTCAACTTCCGAAGATGAATGCATATCTAGAACACGACCATTAGATATAACATCCTAATAGAATATAGTTGTGAACAATTTTGAATCGAAGGTTAACTAGAAACAGTTGGAATAGGGAAGGATGTCAGAAATAAGAAAAACTTGGTTTATCAAAGGGTGAAACTTAAAAGTACTGTACCAATAATCAAATGAATTTCAGTGAAAAACTAAAATATCAGGTTATTCATAAGAGCTATTGAAAATTTCTTGAACTGGTTTAAAAAAATGTTTGATTATCGGTGTTTCATGTCTACATCAAGGAAAGAAACAAATAAAATCGCCTATTCTTTTAACGGTATGCGACAAAAAGGGAGAATTTGTCGTGTTCAGTGAGCAAGATAAAAACCGCAAGATATTCTCAAGCTTTGTCTTTTCTCTCCATATTACTTTCGTTATTCTTTTCTTTGTTCAATTTATTTTTATTTCATTCATTCAGTCATTGGCTAGGATTTCATAAGCCAATAACACTTAATAGTTAGCGACATATCTACTCGTGAAAAAATAGAATATACTAACAAACATGCTTACTATATTCCAACTTCTCTTTTCACTTCTGGACCACAGGTTGCCGATAATGATGGTTCTTCTACAGGACCAGTATTTAGCCCTAAGCCCTTATGTGAGAAAGAGGGCGCTTTATTCGATTGAGAATAAGAGGAGATCTTATATTTACGATTCTGTGTCAATAAGTTAACTATTTCCTTTGCTGTCGCATATCCTATCGACAGTTTGACTTGTTACCTCTCTCCAACACCATTTTTTCTCTATATAGAGCACGATTTTGATCAGCAGATTCATTATAAAATGCCCTAGTCGAGGATCCTGCAAGAAGTCCCACCGTTGAAAAGTCCTGAGTCCCGTTACAGACTTCCGTAGAACTTCAATATGGAACTCCTACAGGTGTCCGACGGACAGAGATGGGCGAGTACACGGATTTCTAAGTACGAGTACTGAAGATCGAATACGAGCAGGAGTACGAGTATTTACTGAAAAGTACTCGAGTAGAACTCGAGTATTTTTTTTTTTTGAAGAAGCCGGTAAATCCGACAAAATTTCCGAATAAATCGATTTTTTGATACGCAAATAGTAAAAAAAGGTCACTAGTTTTTGGGGAAGTACTCGAGTTTTTTTGGAATACTCGTTAAAAAAAGTCCCGAGTAAGAGTATGAGAAGCACTCTAATCTTCAGAAGCACTTCAAATATAAAAGACAAATATATGACAAATATGTAACTGTAGCGTCAAAAGATGCGCCATGGTTTAATAACGATTTAAGGCTACTTCTGCGCAAGCGTGATCTTTTATATCAAAAATATCGTAGACCCTTGTATCCGTTTATTCATG